CTCCCGCAGAGCGCGGGAGCGGCCCCGCGGCACGACGAGCTCCTCCGCGCAAGTCAGCGCGGAGCCGTGCCAGAGCCGGCGCGCGCAGCGCCGTGCTGCGAGAACCGGCACCGTAAGCTCCTCAAGCAGCAGGGCAGCAACAGTTAAGACGGCGGCGTGCAGCTCGAGGGCCTGATCCAGCGAGGAGCCGACCGTCTTCTATTTCTGACCGCTTCGGAGCCTGCAGGCAGCAGCACAGCAAAAGCACCGGCTAAGAAGAGGCACCTTACTTGTAAAGTAAATCCAAAACAATCCCAAAGAGCTGCTGCAGCCACCAGAAAGCGACACAGATGAACGAACCTGCCTGTGATCACACGAGGCTGCCGGTCAGACTCGGCGAGGGCCTGAGGCAACAGCAGCGCCGGCTACGCATCCCTTCTCCCCTGCAGCGACCCTCCAAATAACAGATTACGGCACTGTTGTCTTCTATTATACAAGACATCGCCACTGGCGCATGGTCTAGGCGATATATTTAGCACATATAGGCACTGAGCACAGTAGGCCTATCTGCACTGGATGCAATTCCTATAAAGGTTAAAGGGAGCTGCGTGTGCATCCAAGGGAGACTAGACCCCTTTGTGTACGATGAGAGCTAGTTTTTCTGCCGTATTTATAATTGCTTGCATAGAGTCCTTCCTTTCAAACGCACCGTCGCGTCTTCTCCCCAAAGCTGCCTTGTTTTTCCCCTGTGTTGTAGACCCTTAACAAACACATGGGGAGGAAAAAGATACCCACGCTGCTGTGGGAAGAACTGAATGGTTTGCCAAAAAGTAGGTTATTGCACTGAAAACAGTGCTGAATAAATTATCACAGTCAAACTGAAAAGCAGCAAAGGGAGGGGGGGAGAGAAGAAAAAAAATTCTGAAATGTGTACTGGAAAATGCAAAATACATCCCAGCAATGACAAGTCATTTTAGTTTGTGGCCTGCAGGTTTTGTATGTTCACCAGTTTCTCACTACTGAAAGTTTTAAGAGGAAGAAGAAGAAGAAAAAAAAGATTATAACAGAAGGTGTTTCCTTGGCGTTTTTACAGCAGCTGCACTGAGAGTCCTTTTCAGCTTTTTTTTCCTTAAATAAGACAAACACAGCCCTGCAAATAAGTATATCCCGCAAAAAAAAAAAAAAAACCCCTTCCCCAGCATATTTTGAAGAGGGTGGAAAAGCTGTTAGACATATCCCTACCGCCAATGAGGACAGAAAGAAAAGGTAGTTAAAGTTTGCCGAGCCAGTGTTAAGTGATGTTAGACAAGAAGGTAACTGCTGGTCTTTCAAGCCAACGTACTAAACCCTGCGCATTTGTTGAAACGCAGCCTGTGTTTTCCTGTTCCCCGAAGGAGCCTGATAAAGGGAACTTTGCCCAGCCTTGAACTATTCTCAACCTGTAACAGCTACAAGTTAGAGACTGAAGAGATTTAGTTTTTTGTAGCACCTGTTTGATTTCACAAGAAAAACTACTATACCAAAGCACTTCCCTTAAAAAAGGGGTCACCATTTGATCTGTGTAACTTTTACAAGTTGTAACTTGAATGCAAACGTTATCCAAGAAGTCATTTAAAGTCATAGGGGGGACTCTCTCTTTATAGCGCACTTTAACAACATATGTATTAAATCCATATTAAAAAGCATGCTTAGTGCAGGTCAGTCAGCAGGAACGCTCTAAATCCGATCACAGCACATGCCTTTGGGAACTGGGGATGGAAAATACAGAAGGAGAAGAGAGCAGGAAACAGAAACTAACTGTGCTAAACTTCATTTTGTCTTTAGTCAGATGCAACCCGTTCACCTCACCCGAGATGTTACTGTACCAGTTTCCTCTGCAACTGCAGCATCCTGGGGAGAGGGAAAAAAAAAAAAAGGGGGGGGGGGGAGAAGAAAAAAAACTAACTTAGCGTGTATATTCCACCGACTGCTCAGAGAAGCTGAGCAGACAACACACAGCTTTAGGTTGTATTTTACCCACACACACAGATAACATCCCTTTTATTCATTCGTGCAATCAACAGTGTAGGTAGGGCAGGAAAGGGGCAGGGAGGGAGTTTGCTTCGAAGAGCCCGTTTCCCCAAACGGATGGGGTCGGAGGGTAAGAGAGACTGAGTGCTCGCTCACGGGAGAGTAACATAAGCAAGTCATCGTCCCCCCCGGGACAGCGAGCATTAAAGTAGCCCTGGTCAAAGTCCCTCCGCCTGCAGTATGGAACAACACAGGCCAAGTCGCTCTCCCCGGGCAGGGAGCAGGCAGGAACGGATGGGCAACAAATCCTGCTCCCAGGGAAGGCTGAAACAGAGCGGATTCTTTCTCACACGCGCACACACGCAGCGGAAAGAAAGCAAAATGTTACCACTATTCAGAAAGCACACTGCGGCTTGTGCATGAATGCCAGTCTCCTATCTTGATGAAACGTATATTTTTAAACTATGCAAATTACACGCACGCACGTGTACGCGCGCCTATTAAATGCTTCTTCTACGGGCGAAAGACTGCCTGTAAAAACACAGCAAAAGCAAAGAGTTTAGGGAGACACCGGAAGACGGTGATGTATTTCTGAATTAGGTTCTAAAACTTGATTTTGCAGCTACCTGAAGTTCAGACAAAGCTGCCTCCAGGCATCTGAAACTCGTCAGACCTGCTGTAGCAGTTGTACAGTCTGCTTCAAATATGCCCTCCACGCTCCTCTCCACCTCCACCCCGACATATATCCGCATAGTTTACCTCTAGTCATGGGTGGTTCTTTCTATAGCGCAGTTCACTCAACCTTATTGCCTGCCTGGCACGCCAGGAGCTTTTCAGAGACTCACGTTACAGGCTACTATAAGAAAAAGTTTAGAAACTACTAAGAAAACACTCAATGGTTGTCACATTTCCAGTAAAGGCGAGCACGGAGAGAACAGCACAACCGTTCGGGGGATTGAAAACTCTGGAGCAAGAAGTCTTATTTGTTACAGATAATCCTAGCAAGGTTTAGGGCGAGCTTAGATCTTTCCGCCAACTCGGAGTTCCTTTGAAAAAGGAACTTCTTTCTTCTGCTACTTCCATACACTGCCCAGTTTTAAAAATAACACCAAACAGCCCACACTCGCACTTTTCTGTCTTGTACTCTTAATACACTAGAGTAGATTTTTTTTGTTCTAACTTAACTGGAAGCAGAAGCTGTCAGAAGAAATCCAACGCATTTTACTGGTGCAAAAGCAAGGCAAACAGGCTTTGGCTCCTCATAATTACAGGGACCAGGGCACATGTCATTCAAAGCCACTTAAAACTCAATTCCAAAGCCATATGAATGAGGATCTCGCCTTTGAACCCACTATTCCTCAAAACACCGATCACGTTACAGATTGGGAACGCCAGACGTCGTATGGCAACACCTTCGGTTGTACGTACCGAGCAGAGCCAGGCCCCGAAGCCGGCCCCTCGTTTGGGAGAGGGGACAAGAAAAGCACAGGCTGGCTTTCCGTTGCCTTCACCGCTCCCTCAATCCCAGGGCTCCTTTCGAGCTACCCTGCCCCTCGTGGCGACTTCAAGCTCTGTCTGAGCACCCCTTCGGGCGTACCCTGGGCTCCCCAAGCCCCTGGAGGGAGCCTGGCCCAGCTTTCCCTTGGCAATGCCCCCGGGACGGGCTCTCCCCGGCCCAGGAAGGCCCCTGGGGCAAGGGGAATCTCCCAGGTGCAGGTAGAGGCGGCGTTCACGGCTCCCGCTTGCCACCGCGCCGCCAAACGAAGCATGGGCCGCCCTGGCTAGGAATAACCCACCAAGTAACCACGGCCACCCAACTCCTATCCCGCACAAGGCCGTTACTACTGAACATCCACGCAGCCGTTCACACCTAGCACACGGACCCCGCTGCGACAAACGCAGGACGTAAGGGCCTGTTTCTTCCACAAAACCCTCTACTTTCTCCCAGCCACGCGTTTGCTTTGGATTTGGTTTCGCTCGACTTCCGAGGGCTCAGTCGCAAACAGGGATTTCTTTCCCCGCTTGCGTGAAACAGTCAGCACTGTTATTTTCTTTTGCGTGCGTGTTTGCACTAGTAACGCTGAACAAACCCCCAAACCCGAAGCCTCCGCTACAGCAAACATACAAGTTGACCTTGCTTATAAAAGAATTAGAGACCTGACACGTTAAGGGTCTCCCTCTGTCTACAGAGGACAGGCACTTCTGCATGACAGTACCCAGTTTTTCTGACTGATGAAATTTAGAAATAAAATGAGTGGTAGAAGATATGCAATTGTCCCTCTAAAGAAAACGAGCACCTTTCCCGGACTGGCAAATTCCATTTTCTATAAACTATTAATTAGCACGAGATTCACCTGCACTAAAGAGCTGTGCTAACTGCCAACCTGCTTACATTTAAACTGGACCTTGCTCTCTCCTTTAGTACATTCATGATCTTTGGACTGGGTAACCAAAGGCTGCTGTTTCTGGCACCGGTGGATTTTTTTTCCCTCTGGTGCTAAGGAAGTGTTGCAAGTAGAGCTGTCTCCTCTTGAGCCGCTTACACGTATAGAACCGACTTAAAAGAAGGCGCATCTCTGCCGCACAGACCTTATAAAAAGTAGACAACCAGAAGACTACTTACACTTTCAAAGTAATGCGTTCTCCTTGCTTGACAGATCACACTAAGACGTTACATAAAAGCAAAAATAGTCACAAGTATTTTGGATCACCTGTCTAGCGTTAGCGCTCTTGGAGGTGAACTGTGCCAGGAGCGTTTTACATCACTGCGAAAAGAGTCAGAGTTCCTGAAAAAAAAAATAAATAAATAAAAATTCCCAATGAATTATTTATTTGAAAAATAAAAGCAGCTTGTGTAAATGATGGTAAAAAATACTTCAAACTAGATATTGCACAATATCTGTTGCACTTCACAGAGGTTTAAAAAAAAAAAGAGGCTGATCTAGAATACTAAATTTGAGGTTTTCCCTGGTATTATTACATTGTCTCAAACTTCTTGACGCCTCTCAGGCGGATGGATTCAAGTCCTTGGATTATTTATGTCGTTACTTCCACCAAAACACTGAGAAACAGTGTTACTATTTCATCTTGCCCATAAAAAATAGCAAGTGTATAAAGGAACAAAATTACATTTCTTAATAACTCGGCACCTATAGACACATTTAACGCTGCCTGAGACTGCTTCATCCACAGACCAAACCCGAAGTACCTACGGCTAGCAAGTTTCTTTGTGTTTGTTTTTAAATCAGCTCCAGAGAGAAAGAACGCGGCCTGACACAAAAAATCAAAGCGGCCTGTTAACATGCACAAAGTACAGCCACATTCGTTAGGAGTCCAACCCAGTCCCGACAGAAAACGAGTGGGTGTTTTTTGCTACCAACTGAAACGCAAGCAGCGCCAGTCACGAAAGGAGGAAAACCTCCAGCTGTGAACGCTGGATGCTGCGACGCTTGCCCGGACGGTGGAAGCGTTCCCTAGCACACGCTCCCATATACCTGTCCGGCAGCACGAACTGCTAACCCGCCTCCCGTCTCTCACACCGCCACTAGCTCGTTACGTCAGATCAGATTCAAAAGACACCGTCTCGTTATGCAGAAACGTATGGCTTTTTACTTCAAGCAGAAAAGGCTACTTTAGCTTTACCCTGCCTAACCAACCGCTTACTTTCCAAAGCCACACGTGTATAAGCGGCAGCATCTTTTAAGAAAGATGCAGCTAACTCCTACAGCTTGCTTCACCACGTGAAAGCTTCCCATGCGCTTAGAGGGAAAGTGAGGTGCCTCTGCAAATTTTGTACCCTGCGAGAAGCCCGCAAGATCTACCTCCAAGAAAGGCACCTTCGTTTCGGATGTTTTACGCAGGTAAATCTCTGCGCGTCGGAAAGCAAGCTACAAACTGTCATTTCAACTCACGCAAACAGAAGGAAACTACTTCGTTTGCAACGTGCAGGCGTAAAGCTGATGTTAGGGGGCAGCCAAGCCCACTGTCACCATTGTTCGAGGAATAACGCGTTCGGCGGCGGCCAAGCGCAGCACCCACTGCCGGCAGCGAGAGCCGCGCTCTGCTGGTTTCACAGGCGCTAGGCGAGAAACGCCTGGACTCTTGTGATCCCCAGAGCTTTGGACTTGCCTGAACGCAGACGGCTCTCGACTCGCCGCGCTGGTAAAGGGGCTCCCAGCCCCCCCGAGACGGGGATGAAACGGGCAGGTGCGTCTTGTTTCACGCCAGCGAGCCACCCGAGGGTCCTGGGGGGCAGCACGCGCGCCCCCCCGTAGACGTGCAGCAGAAGCGTCCCCGGGTTCCCAGCGGCGCGCCGCAGAGCGACAGCAGGTAACCGCGCTCCGCTTTTAACGCTTACATGGAACCGCTCGTTCAAGATCACGAAACGCCGGCATGAGTAAAGCAGAAAACGCTCCGAATGAAAGGAGCGCGGCAAAAAGTTGTTGTTGTTGTTGTTTTTTTAAGTGTCTCCCCCCAGCACCCCCGAGGGAAGAGCTTCCCAATAAATATCAGTCAACGTATTTTTACAGCGTTTCCAAAACGTGTGCAACCCTGTTCACAAAACTCCCCCCCCGCCCCACCACAAAGCCTGCTCCCCCCCGCCGGCAGGGCTCT